AAAGAGAGAGAGGGGAGAGGGAAGAGAGAATTAGGGGGGAGAGCTTCGTCGTCGTCGCAAACTCTGCTCTGTCGCTAGAAGACGGCAGTTCTCGGCTAATCTTGCTATTTTATTTTACAGACTTATTGGCCTCGGCAGAGAGACTGGCACGAGAAAGAACATTTTCAGAGAGATGAAACACATTGAGTTTTGTTTTCTAGTGGTTGTTTGATCAACTAGCAGCTAACTTAGATCAGGACTTAGTAAAAGGTAGGTCTTTCGGTCCGTATTTTACACAAGTGCGGACACGTCTAACGGCTTAAGAGAGCCGCAAACTATAGTATAAATTCACGGTAACAGAATATCTACAACCTGACTGTTGGTTGTTTTTCGCGTAAATTATCAAGACCCTATAACATTTTTTTGTCGAAGACTAAAAGTCGTTCTCTTAACTTTGTAAGTTAATTGTAAATCACTTTTCTGATATATACACAACCTATATGTGTTTTTTTCACACAATAAAGAGACGATACTACGTCACGCTAAAAACTCTTATAAATTTTTTTTGATTTACCAAAGTATGTACCTAAACTGTAGCAGTGCTTGTTTTTCTGAAAAAAGAGTATTGAAATACAACTAATATTTAAACATTCATCAACAACGTTTTTGTAAATATATTTCTATACGAGTAGGAACTGCAAAGTAAAGAACGGCAAAACAACCAGTCCATTCTAGTACTAAAATCTAAAAACGTTTATTAGCTTATCTCACTAAGAATCTAGTATTTGTAGTCTTTCCTGCACAACAGCCCCCCCCCCACGACCGCCTCGGCCGTGGACAGTCACCTGAGGTGCTCGCCAACATCCGCTCTACGGAGACCGGAGAGTGTTGTGTGAGTCGCGCACGCGCTCCCTCAGTCAACAGAAGACCCTTGTAGACACCGTGTAGAAGATGGTGGGGGGCCCACCCCACGGGGCCCCCCGCGGAGGAGAAGACAGGGTGGAGGGGTGGTGTAACGAAGGTCTATTAGGCACGTATGTTACGAATAATGAGGACGAGGATAAGAGGAGAGAACAAACACGAAAAATGCTCCGCCTAAACCGCACCGACATTGCTAATAGAAGGTAATTTAGAGCAATATTCCGCTTTCGTTAAGTACATGTCCCGAAATGTATACAAGTGTGACGTTCCTTTATGGGTGACGATCTGTTATGCAATAATTTTCCACCAAACAAAAATTCCGCGTCACATTCTCACCTTTGGGTCGACCTTCGACGTCGATTTAAACTTTCATGACGTCGCTTTTTTTAGACGGGAACATAAGAGAGAAAAATAAATAGAGAGAGAGGGAGCAGATTGTGTGTGCGTTGCGCGTGTACTGGCGTTACCTTCCCGTGGTCTATTCAACACGAAAAAAAAGAAAAAATAATAAAGACATAATAGAAAGTAACTCGCGCACAATCAGGCCAGGCAACGAGTCATACTCCACAGCGAGGAACAAATGTCGCGATGCAGCACGGTCACACACACAAATACACCCTCATCAGTATATCTCGACAATAAAGCTAAAGATAAGTCAACGGATAGCCTGACCAATTCTCGTAAGGTCGCATATAAAAAATATATGGGAACCCCCCGGGGTATTGGGGACCAAGACTTCACTTAATGGCATGGGGTGGACAATTATATTAATTTTTCCCCCGCCTCACTATCACTACATGGTACCCTGTTCGGTACTTGTTACTCTGTGGTTGTTTTGTTATGCAGGACCATTGAAACTGGTCTTTAGAGTCTTTGGTTTTATCTGATAGGTCGTCATATATCTAAATAGAGTGGTTATGTTTCTAGTTTAGTAATTAAAGAACAGTTCTAACTCTTTAGTAGTGACACTTGGTACGTGTTTTATTCAAGGACCATTCGGTATATAAAAGTCATAATAGAGAGATCGCGCACACCCCGCCCCGCACGCCCCGCCCCCCCCCCTTTTCGTTCTCTCATTTTATTTTGTTATATTCTTAATAAAAAGATTTTATACTAGACTTTTCAATCCAAGTACGACGTTCAACCAGTTAGGGCGCGCATTAATCACCACACCCATCCACCAAGCGTATGGAGAATACAGTCTGGCTCGGTAGGTAACGCACAGAGGCGGAGGTAGCATCACCGCGCTGTCTACATCACGTCCCATGTGGCAAAAAGGAACTAGACTTCTAGGTCAGAAGGTACTAAACAGCGAGGTAGTTGGTCCGTACTCTGTCACTCATTATCCCGAACCCTTTTTCTCAATGCACTTAGTATCACTGTCATCAGCTCATCAAAAACACGAGTTTTTACTTCCAAAAATATTCCGGGGGCTGAAGCCTTGTGTGATGGATGATCAAATGTAAAAGTGAGAGATAAAAACTAGTGACTTATTAAGTGTTGTTCTAGCTGGTCCTTTACAACAGCCTCCATCATTACAGGTGTTCATTAAATGTGAAAGCAGATGAGTCCCGTTAGACATCGTCGTGAACGGACATTTTATTATATTATCAGTAAACATTTAATTCTAATTGTTTCTTAAAAACTATATTTTTCACAATTATCCCAATATTTTTGTGGTTCTTATTTTTTTTATTATCATATATTTTTTTTTATTACTATTAATAATTATTTATTTTTATATTCTCACCATTTAGTTTTGTCCCTTCTATTAGAATACATTTTCTATAATGCTTTTATTTTTTATTTTCATTAAAAATAAATAAGAATATCATTATTTTCTCTCCTTAAATATAGGCACGGTCGTAGTGTAAGTTCTTCTTGATCTTTCCTGTCACAACAATACCTATTTTTTTTATTATAAGCGATCTTTTATATATAATATTATAATAAATAAAAACTGTGTATAAATTACACATATTGTATATTTTAATTTATACATTTTCAATTATTTTTAACTAAAATGTCCCTTTTATCCTCAGTGCAAATGCCATGTTGTTTAGCTGTTGGATCCATCTGTCCGAGCATTTGTCCCGCAGGAAAGTCACAGATTGTGATTTCTGTAAACATTCATGGATGCCCAGAGGGTCCTTCATGACCCCCTGACTCGTCTGTTCACAGTGAGCAGATAGTTTTACTTCCACACTATCTACCCAGCAGATTGAGGTGAAATTCATCCTTTTAGCGAATTAACCGCATCATGAGCTTTCCTGTACTGCCGCCCTCAGGATGAATTAGTATGTAGTGTCTCTACTGTGACATGTCTCCATGCTTTAATGTTCCAAAAGCTCTTTACTTTTCTATACTGCCTGTGCTGCAG